CAGCCAAGTTTTGCTACGCCTGTAAATACAAGTATATGTATTTAAGTGTGTTGAAGTATTTTAAATATAGCAGTACTCATGCTCGGCAGGAGTCTAACTCTTCAGTTTCGTATTCGTGTAGTATTATTTAGACTGCATGTATACTATACTGTTTTAGACTGTACAGCAAGGTTAGATTATTTATTTTATCTTAGTCGAATCGAGCACCCGCTTTTTAACAGATTTATGGCACAAGGGTTAAGGCCAAATTGAAAAACGAATTTACTTCTCTTATTTTTTCAATAACATGCATTGAATATGGCATTAAAAATATTGGTATTTTTTGATTGTTAGGATTGAGTCTTTTAATACTTGTAAATATGCTGTTCTGGATCCTGAATAAAGCTACGAAAAGCTAATTAGTTCGGAAGTCTTACATGTTCGCTCCCGAATGTGCTCATAACTCTTAAGCTACTCAGATATTAAAGAAATAATTGCATTCAATCATCAATCAGCTTTAGGTCGTTATACATACCTTCAACAGTTAAATTTTTAGTTTTCGTCATTTCTGCCCCTATTGCGAACTGACAGCACCGTGACTTTTGGTTGAAATTGAACTATTTTAAATTAAATGCTTTTTGAATCCACCATATGACGAACGAAGGATAACAGTAAACGTATTTTAAGTTGAATTCGCCTTTAATTTTTTTAAATTCGTGTTATTCGCGTTTTATCGTTAGTTTTCTTGGTCACTTCGTAGAAAATGTATCTGGCAGCATTTGTGTTTCCGTAGGTGTCCTTACACTTATACTCCCGTTGACCCAACCGATACCTGTTGCAATCAGTTGCGAAAAGATAGTGCCCTTCGACAGCGTTGGCGCTTATCTAGGCTCGCGGAAGTTGAAACGCGCAACCATCCGGTGGTTGTGTAATCGACGTCGTCGCGATAAGATGAAGAGTGCAACTGAGGTGTTGTCTTACTCAGCCAAATGTTTTAAATGCGGACATTATGCTAATATCAAATACCGATAATAAAATTTATCTACAAACTTTTATGAGAAATTGCATTAAGTATTATAATTCGCAGATCACTCTTCTTCGCTGCGACATGCTGATATTTGTTGTTAGTTAGAGAAGTCTGCGATAAGTATGTGCGGTCCTCCGCACTTGTAGCAGTGTTCAGCGGTTCAATTCTAGCTCTCAATTTGCCTCCGTAATTTTCCGTTTCGATCAAAATTATAATGAATAATAATGATATAAATCAAATAGACAAATAGCATAGCAATATGCGACAGTTGCCGTTGCACTCACTTATCAATTTGTGGAGAGAGAGAATTTGTTGAAGCAATTAGCATCCTATCTGCGTTCAGTAAGTTTCAATAAAGGGCAGTTGCGATCTCTGTAATGTAATGTGGCTGAGTGAGTGCCTTTTTGGAAGCTAACTACGCGTTCAAAAATTCGAAAATTGAAATGTCTTTATTAGCTGAGATGTGGAAAAAAGTCGTACAAAGTGTGGAGAGGAACAAATTAAAGTTTGCCAAAATACAAATATCTCATATAGGTTTCATATGAGGATTTTCAGAAAATCATAAATATGAACAGATTTATTTATATTAGTTGTTAATTTTAAAGATAGTTGATTATAAATTTGACATTTAGACTCATTAAAGTTATTTACAAAATAAAATAATTACAAGATCAAATTAAGCTTTCTGGTCATATAAATTCACATCTCCATTATTTGGGTTGTCATGTATGACAGAGAGCATCACTTGTAAAGCCGAGCATCCTATACCTACAGCAATAGAAACGAGCACTGGTGAATAAGCTCAAAAAGGGATCCACAAGTAGAAAGATTATTTGATTTTTTCAACACCACGACATCTATTTAAAAAGCTGTATAGCTCTTACTGAAAAAATAATTATATATATATGTATGTAAATTTTTATCTGAAGTGTATAAATATTTTACTTCGAATGATTGGCAAATAAATCCAGTTTACTCGATTATAAAAAATAACAAGTAAAGAAGGGTTCAGTTCAACATTAAGGGGGTATTCTAGTCTAGAGGCTTGAATTTCAGGTAATCTTTAAAGTGTCGTAAAAAAAGTCAATCAAAATTTTTACTATCCATTTTTTTATTAGTTCTTTATTAACATTATAAGAATACAAAAAAAAATCAAAAAAATAAAAAAAGTTTAAAAAAATAAAAATTTTAAAAATTAGAAGCTGAAGTGGCTACAAAAAGTTGACACGTGACCATACCCACGATTTTAACTTTCCCAGAAATCTGTAACAAAAAAAAACTATGTCGCATGTCTGGTTCTGCAAAAAAATAAAAACAATTTTGTACAATTTTGTTTTACTTTTCGAATTTTTAAAAATAGTAAAAATTTAAATTTGGTGATATTGATGGTTCCAGATATAGTCAAGTATAAACATTTCTGGTAAATCGGTCCATTGAAACCTGAAAAATCGTGGGTCTCGTTGTTAAAAAACACACTCTCAATTTCATTAAGATAACTAACATATTTACCGATATATACGGTATATTGGGAATATGGAGTCTGAAGGAATTATTGATCCGATTCAACCCATTTCTGACATAAATACATACTATTATCTCTTTCCGAGTTTCTATAATATATCTCACAGATTTATTTTTATTTATTAAAGCTGCTTGTTCAAAACCTAACAAATATAATTAAATCATAAATCTATTTAAAACTAGGCAAGCTCAAGGTTGTAGCTGAGCGTTTTTGGTGATACATTGCTCTTTAGAAGACTGGTAGATCTATTCTCTTTAAGCGAGTTTGATTACAGGAATGTAGCAAGGCATTAGCTAATGGTTTTGGTTGATTACTGAGTTTAAGCTCATAGTTCTTTCTGCTGTCCTCTACTTCTTTCGTTACCATAGAAATACCAAGATCTTTGAGAATATTTTCATTACGAATGTACCCGTTATAGCTTTCAGGATTTTTGACTGGAACCTATGTATTATATTAATATTAGTTGCACAGGTCGTACCCCTTAGTTCAATAACATACATCCAAATCGTTTTATTGCAGCATTGTATAGCAGAACTTTGTTGTCTAGGCTAAGTTTTGCATTTTTTTAAAGCCAGTTTAAATTTGCTGCTCTTATTTCCATGCTAGTTATTTTGCTGAATATATGTTTTTTCCATGTGAGCCTTCTGCCCAAGTGAATACCTAGATAAATTACATCGTACGCTTTTGTTCATTTATGTACATTTATTCGGCCAGCCATTCTTCGACCTATGCTAAATACTCCTCTAGTAGCCTTGACGCTCTGATGGGACATTTATTACGGCATACTAAGGGTGAGCCATCCGCAAATGTCGATGTCAATACATTATTACCAGTTGGTGCTGCTGTATATAAGATATATGCAAATATATTGAACGATATTTTCGATAAAAAGTTCGCAAAAGGAACTTTTGGTCCGATTTGGACAATTTTTGGTCATAAGATGGCACAATTCAAGCGCACTATTTGTGCAAAATTTTATCCGAATGCATTGATTAGTTCTTGATTTGTATACTGGAAAATGAAAGAATCAGGTGGAATTTAAAATTGTGTCATATGGGAAGAAGGCGTGGTTTTTGCTTGCTTTCGTTCATTTTCACACTGTAATGTAGGAATGACAGAATATTACCTACCAAATTTTGTTGATATCAGTCAAGTAGGTCGCGAGATATGGGTTTTTCCTTAAATTTGGTCGGTGTCATTTCCATCCTCCAAATTCGGACTTCTAAAAAGCCCTTTCGTACCATCTCGGGTGTAAAATGTTATGTCTCTGGCGCATTTATTGATGATTTATCGCTTTTATAGTAGTTTAACAAAATCGTTTTCCCATTTTCACAGAATAGGTAGGGAAGCCAAAAAGATTTGCCCAGGACGAATTTGGTTATTATAGCTTAAATGGTTTAGAATATACATATGTACATTACACGCAGAGGCCACAACCACTATAAAAAAACATATTAGATTCCGCTCCCTAATGCAATTCGTTCTATTAAATAACAGCCTTGTATCTTATTGTGGAGTTTAGTTAGATGTCTCAATTCTTACTCAAGTTATCGGACCAACGGAATTTAACCCATCTCGATATCCTGATCATTAATATATATGTATATCTCTAACTGCATATCTATCTCGATTAGTTTTAGGTAATACAAACAACCGTGAGGTGAAGAAAAATATTATACTCTGTAGCAATATGTTGCAAGAGTATAAAAAATTTTGTGTACGAGTTATGTTCAAAAAGTGTCGCGAATTTTGAATTTTTGCGGTCTACGTGTATTCGACTTTCGATTGTTTTGTTGGGTTATGTTGGCGATACTTTTTGAACAAACCTCGTATGTACCTATATATTTATTGTGAATAAACAAATTCCAAAAGTTCAAATATTATTGCAAAAATATGTTAAATACTCATAGATAATTCAATTAGTATCCTCAAGTTTATTTGTGAACTTTTTTATTAAAGCTCAAAGTGAGATATAAAATTAGATTATCTACGTTTTTAATTATGTGTTCGCTGTTTTGGTGTTAATATATACATATGTATTAATTACTAGAATTTAATATGTCTTGCCATAAATTCTGTTACAAAGTTTACGAGCGAGGAGAAGTTCGCAGAAAAATTGTCATTATTGCTTATTATAATTTGTGTGCAGTGTTCACATATAAAAATCAGTTCAGTGTTTGCTTTCGCTCTTTAACAATGGAGTGGGAAGCTAAATAAAATTGTAAGTGTGGAAAAGGCGCAAGTAAAATTTATGAGCTTCTAAAAAGGCTTAATATTTCGTGAATGTTTACTTACCGTATCATTGCACAGTGGTTTCGCTTGTTTGGGAACCGCGGCCATAAATACTTTTAGATGAGATATCGTTTTGAAATTTTCACCAAAATCTATAATATTAATATATTTTTAAAAAATAGGCATATCGGACGGCTATATCCTATAGCTCCCATAGTAACAGTCAGTAATGGATCGATAAATTTTTTTATTTATTTTTATTTTATGGGAAACTGGGCGTGGTTTTACTAATAATTATACAACAAAAAAGTGAAATACGCACTTTTAAGATTGATTGGTGATACACAATAAAGGTACAAAAATGTTGTGATAACAGAAAGAAAAAAACATTTATACATTATAATTAGAAAACCAACAACAATTCTATAAATAATTTTCACATTGTCTCATCAAGTAAATCTATAGTTGACTTTAGTAGCGTTGATTTGTGGTTATAAGCAAGTATGTTTTAGAAAGCAGTTGGGCAATATTCTGATCGATGGCTAGAATTGGAACACACAAGGCAAAATCACCTAGAAATTGCTTAAAAGCAATATTCCTGGCTTCATAGCTGGATATTGGCCGTCTGGAAGTTCAGATTTGAATCCATTGACTTGCAGTTTGTGGTCAGAGTTAGAGAACATGACCTGTAGAATACCCCACAGAAATTTGAAGAATCTCAAAAATTGTCCAGCAGCGATGTGAATATCAATAGTCTCGGTGCGTGCTTCTATTGATCAATGGTCGAATCGTTTGAGGACCTGTGTGAAAGCAAAATATGAAAATTTACTTTATTAAAGAATGTATTATACTTGTATATACACATAATATATATAGTTTAATTGTTATAACGGCCTGAACTTGTGACAGAACTTATGGCAGGCAAGTATACATATTTTATTCAAGAGTTTTATGAAACGTTCCAACATATTTTTTAGTGAATTTCTCTCTGATCTTAAGTTTTTGAACATTTACTTTACGGAACAGTGCCAAATATTCAGCAAAACTTTTTTCTGACATCGTTCGTCTGGAGTTTAGGGGCACAGCTGCTTTGAGACTTTGAAAAAAATAGTTGTAAACTTGTTTTGTTTAGTTAATTTACTTTAAGTTGAAATTTCGTGCGTAGCTGTATTATTATTAACATGTTTAACCAGATAAGATACGATTACTATGGTGAATAGATTAATCAAAACAGTGTTTGTGATCTTATCTGCATGCGAACATATTTATATAAATCGTATCGGCGGCCAAATGGAGGATCCTAGAAGTGAAAGATTATTTGATTGAGTACAAGTTCGAAATATAGTTGTGGTGATATATTCAAATGTTGTTCAAATTTAATGAAGAAAAGTTGTAAATAGAAATTAAAATAAAGCGTCTATTATTTGCATAGTTCGACTTCTTTCCCATCATTTACTATTCCTGGGGTCATTTTATGGTGCTTAACTGAAAGGTAAAAACCTTATCTAACTAATGTTTTTGGATATATGTATCTACGTTCGAAGCAAAGAAATTAAAAAAAATTATGTTACAATTAGAATGAACATCTCACCATTGTTCAACCTTGCCTAGATTTGAAAAATAAATATTTATATATATTATTATATTATTATATTATATTCATTATTCCTTGGAAAATAAATATTTATCTTTATTATTATATTATATTGTATTTAATATTATAAATGATAAACAATTTTTTGAGCATTTTTCTTTGTTACTAGTAGTGGGTGTGTATTGTTCTTTTTGTCAGTTCAGTCATATTTATATATATGTCTATATATACTATACGTATTTTTGGTTATCTAAGTGTTTGCTGCAGTGTACCATGTTAAATGACTAATATATTTTTGTTAATGTAATTTAGAGTTATGAGTTGATCCAAAGAAAATGGAAGATTTAAAAAGCTTATGCCTTACGTAGATTTGTAAATTTGTCACACTACATGAACGAACAATATAATATTAACATATTAATATGTGTATGTATATATTTATATACATATCTTACATAAAAAATCTCAATTTAGTTTTTGGATATATATACTTTTAATTAAGACAATAAAGAAAATGTCCAAATAAAATCACAATAAACCTTTAAAAAATATTTTTTAAACCGTTTTAGTTGGAACCAAAATTGTCTTAGGAAGTGTGCTTCTCAGCTACTTAATTATGCTTCATTTACATACTAATTTGCTATTTATTAAATTAAAAATTTTATTTATTGACATGAAATTTCGCCGCCGTCAAAATAATAGAGCTCGGCATTGTTAAAAGCAGGTAGCGTCAATAAATTTGGTAGCACTGCCTGAATTCTTTGGTACAACCCTGCATGTGCAGCAGTGACAGAGGAAAATTACGGAACAGTAATAATTGATATTTGCAGTTTACCTGTAAACTATTGTGTTTAAACAATTGTAAACGAATTTCAAGGAAATAACCTAAAAACAGGTCCTGACCTGAAGTTGAGTTGCATACATTCGATCGACTTTAACGGAGATTTCATAATCTTTAAAATATTCAGTCCTCATTTGTAGCAAGCCAATCTGGATGGTAGGAAAATTGTAAGGGGAACAAAAATACTAATTCGTGAGGGTGATGTTGGCATATGCTTCTTAGTATTGTAAAATTATGACAGTGTGAGAAGGTGGCAACGAAGCTCGTAGCAAAGGAAGTGTGCAGTGAAAACGAAATTAACCAAATGTCGCCGTGAAGCGGAATTGTGTAGAAAAACGCATCCACGACCAAATATAAAAGGAAGCGAAAAAACCTGCATGAGCGAAGAGGAATGAATAGTAAAAACGTATGAGGAAGAAGCAACATCAGCAAAAAATTTGCCAACCATAATTTAAAACCAAGCTTAATAAAGAAGTAAAAGAGTTAACTTCACTGTGGAAAAAGTGATTAAAGTTAATTGTGTACTACTATAATACATATTTTCACAAAGCGAAAAATAAAGTAAATATTGAACGCAACATCGATTACGGTGACGTCGTGTGTGTGTGGTTTCGATTGCGATAATTGCATAAAAATTATATCAAAGAACTGACAAAGTGTGAAACGTTCCTTTCATTTCGTGTTTCTGATATATGGAACTTTTTTGATAATTAAAATATATCATTAAACTATCAAAACAAAGCAGGTCTGGTAGAATTTGTTAAATTAAATTAAAGATAAAAACGTGCTCACTAAAACACAGGAGATATTTTGTCGTGAACAAAGTACCGTAGTGCATCTTAGCGTTGCGACCGGGAGAAATAGAAGTGGAGCAAGTATCGACGACGACGTACAACTAAAAGAGGCACAAGCGAAAGTGCCACTTTGTCATTTATTGTTGTGAATTTCAACACCACATCATTATGAATACCAATAGCAATAAACGCAAAAATCGCCCTGGTGGCGTAGGACGGTAAGTTGTGGAGTAAAGCGATATATGGAGAGTATATTACCATGTACCCCATCTTATATAACAGTATAATTCCTAGCCATGTGCTTTTAATTGCAAAATAATAGGTTTTTAGACATCATTCCGGTGTCCTTAAAATTCGAATATGTTTACAAACTAGATCATCATATATTTTATCAGTACAAATCCTGCCATGAGCTAAACCGCTTCTGTATATATACTATACCGCTATATTGCATTTTGGTGTTTTGTTGGAATTATTACTGAATTGATAGACATGATTTGTGCCATTGCTAGTTGTGTTTAATATAATCACACATTTTTCTTTTACACAGCTTATAGCAAGGCCAATGGTTTTGCCCAAATATTGCCGACGAATTTTTGGTAATAAAGAAATTTAAAAAAAAATCAAAGACGCAAATAAGCCCATTCTTTTTTCTTCTATTGTTTACGAATTTCTTTCTCTCGTATGCAGCGTTGTTACATTAATGTATTAGTATAAAATACGCACATCGTCACACCTGCCCCAATACAAAGCGGTAGATGACAAGAAGTCACGTCAATGAATTAGAAAGTGCGTTGACCGTACTATGTGCGATGATTCGCAATATTGTTTTGATTACATATTTTGATATTTAAGGTTAGGGCAATTAACAAGTAAAAAAATTAAAACAATGTTTTCAGACTTTTTTCTCTTTGGAACTGTTTTCGAAATCAAATAACATATTTTTTAATCTTCAAGTTACGTGACCGATAATCGTCAATTGCAACAACACCAACAGCATTCAAATAAAGGACGTACGCAAGCACAGGGAGTGTATAAAAACACTCATTTCATTCACGCGGCCACATCGTTAGTTGGCAGTCTTGTCCAAGTTCGCTTACGTTCGGGTAATATTTACGAGGGCGTATTTCACACTTTCTCGCCAAGTTTTGATGTAGCTCTGGAATTACCATTATGCATTAAAACAAATAAAAACGAAGATGAGGGTAAGCATGTCCCGAATCATATGATTTTTCCTTGTGATACAGTAGTGAATATATCGGCAAAAGATTTCGATTCTCGTTATGCCACAACGAGAACTTTTGCAACGGACGGTGCAATCTCTGAAAAATTTAATGGTAGGTTATTGGATATATCTTTAAATTTGTTACTTACTATATCTCCTTGTGTCCTTTTATAGGTATTCGATTTGAGGAGAAAGAACTCGAGCCATGGGATGCGTCTGGTATGAATGGCGACGTCGACATAGAATTAGACGGTGCCGCGAATGGTTGGGACCCAAATGATATGTTTAGGCAAAATGAACACGTCTTTGGAGTTCAATCGACATTTGATGATTCGTTGTCTTCATATACTGTTCAACTTGATAAAGTAGATTCTGATGAGTTTAAAGAAGCGGAGGCCAAGGCCGAGAAGTTGGCTGCAGAAATCGAAAGCAATCCTATCTACAGAGAGCGTGTTGATTTAGAGAATGGGGATGAGGAGACTCTATTCGCTGCAGTGGAACGACCGAGTAGCGAAATAGACCGTGAACGTGAAAGAGAACGTGATTTAGAACGTGAACGAGAGCGGGAACGCGAGCGGGAGAGAGAAAAGGAGAGAGAGCGAGACCGGGAACGTGAACGGGATCGTGAACGAGAACAACGTGATAGAGAACGCGATCGCGAACGTGATGATCGAGAACGGAGCAAACGTCCAGGTACAAGCGCGTATGATCATCGGGAAATTGTGGCTGAACGATATATAACAAAACCAACGCGCAGTATAACCGGTCCGCCACCGCCTGTGGCTATGGCTTCCACCAATTCAAACTCTTCGACCGTATCTTCACAAACCAGCGGCAATGGTCCCACACAACGAGGTCATATGGATCGTGGATGTAGTGTCAATAGCGGTGGTAACATTGATATAATGGGTGGCGAGCGCATGGTAAACGCACCGGCTTCCTCAAGTATGGGTCAGCCGCAGCAAACGCAGCAACAGCAAACCAGCTCAATACAATCGTCATCCGGTGGTATGACAGGAAGCATAAAAAATACATCGTCGTTACCTCTGTCATCAAACACTGGAATAGTCAGCGGCTCGGATGGTGGCAACAAATATGGTGGCGGTTCAATGATGAAGCGCAAAACAGTCCCACAGGGTAAACAAATGTTGCGCAATGCACCGATAACCAATAATTCTAACACCCAATCGGGCGTTGGTGGCAGCGGTGGTAACATGGCTCAAGGGAGTGTTGGAAATCAGTCAAATGTTGGTGGCGGAAAAGTTGGCAATTATCAACAAATGCCAATTCAAAACCAAGCTCCTATGCAAAATTATCCGCAAATTATCCATGGGTGCGTCAATGACATACATCAGATGTATACAGTTAGCTCATGCTTGTATGTTTCTATTTTTGTTCATTCAGATCGTCTCAATACAGAAACCAGCAACACATAGGCGGACCGTCAAAGGTTAATGGCGACTCTAACCCGAACTCGGGCAAACCAATGCCGCATCGTAATATGCGTCAGTATCAAAGTACTCAAACAAATTCTCCGTTGAACTACAACGATTCGCACAATCAGGTAAAGTATATTAAAATATGATCTCTTTTAAAACCGAGGTCCATTAACGATTCTTAATATGAATTCAGGTTTCAATGGCAAAATCACATGGGCCTCCACACGGTCAACAACAAATTGGTGGTCCCTTGGGTGTTAACAACAGCACTTCACCACCTTTACAAACTGGCGGCGGGGGTCCCCATAATCATCCACAGTCTCAAAGTGGTGGATTAGTCATGGCAGGACCACCTAATCAACCACCACCTCAGCCGCAGCGACAAATGCGGAATCAAATGCAAGACTTAAGGCAGTTTGCACAAGATTTTCAGCTGGCGAACAGTACATCAACGTCGCCGCCTCAACAGTCACAGCAAACGCAACCCTCACTGCAGCAACAACAACAACAACACCTGAATTTGGGTAAAGGAGCGGGTCACCAACCACAACCTTCGGTTTCGCCGCCACAGCAGCCTCAACAAATAATTGTGCAGCAACAGCAAACGCAGCCGCATATAAATATGCAACATGTACAACAGCAGCATCACAATCAACATCATGCATCGCCCCCACAACAAACGCAGCAGCAGCACTACGTACCGTCACATTTGACGCAACAGCAGCAACCACAACAACAGCATGGACCGCCACCTGTACAGCAGCAATCACAGTCGCAGCAGCAACAAAAAGGGCATTTGCATCAACAACAGCAACAGCAACCGCCTCCGTCTATGCAATCACATCAACATCAGCAACAACCGCCAGCACAACCATCTACTCCTTTGCCACAGGAGCCACCACAGCAACAGGGCATGTATCATGTGTCGCCGCCACAGCAGCAACCTGCGCAACCATCACAATTACAGCAGAGTTCACCGCCGGTGGCAGATACCCCACCACAGCAGCATCAGCAACAGCAATCGGCACAACAAGTGAATAAGATGGAGGCCACACCAGTGACAACAGTCACACCGGTGAGCAACACGTCACCAAACACCGCAACAGATAAACTGACCACGCCTCCTGGCACTGCTGCATCGTCCACAGCGACTAGCAGTGTTACTGCGACTGGTACAACAACTGTTAAAAAGACACACGTCTTAAATCCGTCGGCGAAACCGTTCACACCACGAAGCCCCAGTACCCCGAATCCATCACGTCCGCACACCCCGCAGACACCAGTGCCGATGCAAAACATCTACACGACCGCTACGCATGTGCAAGCTGGTAGCCAAACGCCCATGTATGTGATGCAATCACAGCAGCCCGCATTCCAAGCACCAACGCATCCACAGACGGGACAACAACCACGCATGCGTAGGGGCAACTATGGTGAGTGTCCAGTTGTTGTAAGTTTCTTGTGACATTTGGTTAATTAATTTATAACAGGTCCGATGGCGGCGTCACAAACTCACGTTTCAGCAACAACAGCTACCGGACAACCTTTGCTGGCAGCAGCACCCATACAACAGTTCATACATTACCAACAAACGCCACATGCGCCACATTTCCAATCGCAGCCATATGTTAATGTAAGTATAATATAATTATTTAATATTTTCTAGTTTTCCGTGCTTTATGCCAAATATAGGAAGTTGATTAAAAATGGTACAAATCTTTAATTACAGGTGCGCATGTATGAACCACCACCACAGCAGTTGCAATTCATAACGCAAACACCACCATCAACTACACCGTCCCCAGGACAGCCGCATCAGACGTTCCATCCGCCACCACAGCCTTCCCCTGCTGGCGGAGGCCCGCAACCGACCTTCGCGCCACAAACACAGCCCATGTACCCTGTCGTGTATCCCGTATTACATTCGACACAAATCATGCCGAATCACTACTATTCGACGACGCCACAGCATCCACAACAAACGCAGCCGTTTCAAATACTGATGCAACAGCATCCAGCGCAGTAAAAGTTTACGTAACGACAACAACAAAAACGAAACACATATTTATCATAAAACAGGGAAGGAGCGGTCACGCGGTGGATACAAGAAGAAGCACTGAAAATGTGAAATGGGAGGGAAGATGAAGTCATGCTGCGGCTGATTATAAACATTCATATTAAATACTATAGAAAAGTATAAGAAGTATATAGACGCGAATTATTTATGTTGTAAATGCCTCGAAGCAACATCTGCCAACAATAATAACAATAAAACCATTGCTTTTATGCAACAAAAATAACGATATCATAAAATATATAAATGCAAATTATAAGAATAATATATTAGAAATTCGTCAATGGTGAGAATATACATATATGTATGTGTAATGTTTCCATGTTTGCAAGATGTTTTCTTGAATTTTGTGAAACCAACGCCTTAGCAAGGTATTAAGGTTTTGCTAAAATCATAATTTTACTTCAAGGCAAATTAAAAAATATTTTGCAATTTAACTAGATGCCCTTGCTTGCCTTCTTTAAACTTAAATATTGGAAAATTATTTAATAGAACGAAAATAATGTGGGATTTATCCATAATATCTAACTTTCTACTATTTGTGGCATGTTTGTTGTCATCCATGATAGAAAATAGTGACGTAATGTAAAATGCATTTTTTCTTCATATTGTTATTGTTGCTGTCATTGATGTTGCTGCATTGCTTAGCGGACCCAAAAAACGAAAAGGAAAAACATTAAAATTAAACACCTAACAAAGAAAGTTCTATAATACAAATTAAACGTAGAAAAATAAAACAGATGAAATGCAAAAACAATTCCGCGATTAGCACCGTTGAAAGTTATATAAAATCGCTTAAAAAATCGAATTCGTAAGACGTGTATCGACTTAGGTAGAACTTTGCGAATGGTTTGCTTCTAACGCAATCAATATCGGCAGGCGACAAGTCACGAGCCGCATCACTTTACACGTTCTTATTAATTTTGGTTAGAATGTGGTTAATTGATTTGCGTTAGAATTGTTCATGCAGAGTTTTTGTTTTTATATTCACATTGTAGTACTTTCTTATGTTATTTGTCGGATTGATGCGTTTTCACATCAAACTAAAAAAGCAATGGAAAATTGTCAAAGAACAATATGTTTTTTCCTTTGAAATCCTTTGTGAATCATTCCATGTCTGAAACCAAATACTATTCTAATACTTGTTTGAACGCAGATAAAAATTTTGGACGTGAATAGTCTTTGTAGTGTTTCAAAGGAAAACGTTAAAATGATCAAGTATTTTCTAATGAAAAATAAAACATTTGCTTTAACGATGCACATTCGTAGTAATAATATAAACGCTGCCTTAAGGGACTCGAAGTCAGCTTGACTTCTTAAAAACAATTATTTCACGATTTAGTTCAAAAATGGAAAATAATTCCTTCAAGTTAAACCTGACTATATTTAAAAGTAAATATGCAAATTAGACTAAACTTAAAGCAAGATTAGCTGCTTATTTACATCTATGGTCGGCCACTATAATTGAATATTTGTATTTGAATGAAGACAAATTCTATAGAAGCCTCTCTAAAATAGCGCAACTTTATTTTCTAAGCCCATCGACAAGCATTTCCATTATTGCGCATACTTCAATAAAGCAACCGACGTAAATATTGTGCTAAACAAAAATTATACGAAATTTTTTTTTATAAGATACCAAAAGTCAAAAAATGCGAAAAACGTAAATAAATTAATATTCGATTAGTGAGGGACCCGTGTTGTACATGTCATTAAAACTGCGTTTATTGTATGCATTTATTTTGCTCAGTTGGGTTTTGCTGCTTACTTAGCTCGTTTTTGCAAGTTCATATTTTTCGTTAGTACTCTTAGTCATTTTTGATTATTACTTACCCTTCGTTTTTTATTACTAAGAATTTAGAAAAAGAATCGAAAGAAATGTTTTCTTGCGCATCCTTTTATAAAATTATCAATGTTTAAAAGAAAAAATAGCAAAAAAACGCCAAGAGCGTAAGAAATATGTATGTGTTTTTGTTAAGTTTTCTCCCTACTTTTGTACTCCTACAAGCAAATTCCTCCGCACATTGAAAATACAAGAAGATAAATGAAAAATATATTTAAATAAAATATATGTATATGCAAACATATATTTGAGTGCGATTAAAATAAAATAATAAAAAATAATAAAATATGTGTAAATAAAAATGAGCAAAGAAACAAAACACAAAAACTTAAAAGACTGCAGGTTGTTTTTATCAGAGGCTTAATATTTGTGGGCATATTAGTGGGTTTGTCTAGCGCCATAAGAGGCTCCTACAATAAATTCGAAATAATGGATATCCAACATGTGGAGATTGGGACATGCATAAGTATGTAGATTGTAGGACAAATTCTACCCGAAGAAAAGAAAAATGTATGTACATATTTGATTTATGTAACGATTTATTACAACTTTTACTATTTTTTATTAAATACACAATCTGCACACTTTTAACTTCTTCGCCATTACTCTTCTCCAAATGTAGTATTCATGATGTGAATGGGTGCAAGCTTCTGATTTTTTCCAAGGATCGATTTTTTCCAGGAAGTGCTCTAAATTTTCGCTACAAAGAAAAAATATAAAATAATTTATTTATAAATAGTACGTATGTATGTATGTATGTAGGCCGATATCTTAATTTGAACTGAGCTGCATTTTCTGCACCCAAACTCGTCAAAATGGCTGTGATATGAGTATGCAAATGGCGACATAAACACAAACATTTTAACGAAATGGCGTGGCGACAAAGTTCAACGCGATTTTCACACACAACACAGGGGCACTGGCCAAAGTTTGATTTGGAAGTGTCTCACTTTTATTCAGATTAGTTTGAGCTCTTACCCAATGCACTGAGTGGAGAATGTATGAAAACCAAATTACTTATGTAGCAGCAGGTTTTTATTGTTATTTTCAAATGGAGTTTTGGATAGATACCGTATAATAGGCGCGGAGAACTCCGCTCACCTACTCTGGATACCACTTGGGCTGTTTTTTTTGTAAATATATTAATACAGCAGTTGCAACATGGTCACAATAAAGGATTAGGTTTTTTTGTATTTTGAAATGTTATATTCAGTTTATCGATATACCATATACATATATGCATCAACATAAATATGCTTTACACAAGTGTTCTCACTTTTTAGGTTCTTTGCTTGCTGTTATATTCCTTTTTTTAATATTTTTGTTTCGTGTATATGAATTAATACTTCTATTTTTCATTAGTATATGCACTTATTTTGCTCTGTTGCCGTTATAATTCAAACGAAACTCATCAAAATGGCTGTGATATGAATAGAGTTGTTTTGAAAACATTTCACAACATCTTGAAGAGTTGCGCAAGAATCTGCTGTTGATATGTTTTGAGCCCTTCCTTTTTATTGAACCAGTATCAGTATTCAGAACAAACAAAAAGCGGCATTCTCGATATTGGAAAATTAATTTCATCGGGTCAAACGTTTGTAATCGAGCTCGATTCCAATTTTAGAATAATTGTAATACATTCTAAATAATGAAACATTTGTAACACAAATTTCTTTTAAAGGCATAAATGATATATCAGCTTCTACTTTATTAATTAATATTTCTTGCGCGTTGTTCTTATGAATGAACAATTTGTTTTCATTCTGTGTTGTGAAAATCATCGATAACTTATCCTTTTAAACTGCGTGGGGAGAGAATTGTGGAAAATTTCATACATTTGGTTTATTTTACTACTACCGGAAAGAACATGACCAAAAAATAAAATCAAATATTCTCAATTTTTAGAATTAAAGGGCTCAGGCAGGCAGACTATCGAGTAGAAATCGAGGAATCTGGTTTGAGAACCTTGGCATCTGTCTTGAAAGACGATTGAGGACAGGTAGTGTAACACGAGATCGTCAGAAAAGTTCTAAAACCACATAAATACTCATTGCAGATACCCAGGAAGACACATTGCACTCTGCACTGAATATTGAAATATGTGTGATACCATATTATACTAAGAAGTAGAGTTTGGCCAACTCTCGGTTAAGTTTTGCGGGTATCCCAAACACATTTGAAAAAGCGAGTGGCCAGAAGTGCGATTAAGTTTGGATTTGTTGATTCCTATGACAATTGCAAAAAAACTATCGAAGCTACTGCCGAGAATGCTGACTTTAACCCGATTGAAAATTCATATCCGGTTTTGAAAAAAAAGAGTGCGTAAAAGAAGCGTAATAAACCAATTCGATTTAATCAATGCTACTCAGGTGGGAGTGGAACAGAATGCCTCTAGTTTATGACCTGTCAACTTAATTCACTTAACGGCACGTCATGTACATGATTGCATCAATTCAAATTAGCATTTTCTTCTTAGCTGTAGCTTTATATTAAAAGATTTTTGCATTTCCCAAATAACTATTCGATAGCAAAATATTTGAGTTAATGGTAATTTTGTTTGTGTTTTCAGTTAACAGGTTTTGACTTTTGATATTTGTTTGCCTTAAGTAAATTTAAGATTTCACATTGTTTTTCATTTTGCAAAGAATTATTTGACGAACTGTAAGTGCAGTTTGTACTTCGGTAAAATACACTTGTGCTGATGTGATTGTATGTAAGTACGCACCCGGGCAGTCCATTCATATGGACATGAATATGCATACGAAGGCAGGCTTGAGCACGCATATGCTCAAATACGTCTGTATTGATTATATGCTCTGCATGAATATCTGTATATATTTGAGTTGTTTGTGTGTATGTGTACCAAACAACTTGTTTGAATCTGTTGCAGCAATGGAATGACTGCAACGCATGAAAACAATTGCGATTGCGGATGTGGTACCGGATGACGTGTGTAAAAAAAATATATAAAAAAGCAACAACAACAAAATAGAATGTGGGAAACAAGCAAACAAGTGAGGGAATATGAAGCGCTGTGGGTGTATGTGTGCGGCTTGCAAAGCAGCCGCTTTCTTGTATGTACATCATGTTTTCGGTTTTGGTAACATACTTTCAGGCGTTGATTAGTGTTTTTTAGCCCCGGCTCCATGTGTGGTGCGATTTTCACATAACTTACAATTTTTTTACCTTTTCCTTTTTCCAACACTATTTTTTGTGCGCGTTTCACTGTTTTCGTGTTTCTTATGCGGTTTAATTGCAATGCTCATCAAAGCTGGCTGTGATACTTCTCAGTTACAGAATATCTACAACAGCCCTTTTTGATGACATTGAAAGTGCCAGCACACACGCGCACACACACAAAGTTGCTTCCAAAATGTTTCGATCACTTTTCGCGGGCGTAAGCTATTTTTTTGGCTATTTGTAAGAGAATATTTGTGTTACATAAAATTAATATATGTATGTATGTACATATGTTTAAAAATATGTTTACTTTATATACATACATATGTAGCAGACAGTGTCTGATTTGTGGTTTACTTTTTAACGATAACTTCTGAACAGAAATTTTGTATAGTTTTTTGTTTATGTATTTTGTTACATATTTTTAGACGTTGTAATAGTTTTGACAACTATTTGTATTTGAAGTAAATTTTTCACAATCTCAATGAAGAGAGATTGTTTTCCCCCCAAACGGAATTGTTTTGAGTGCATCTTTTTTAAGTACATATAATATATAATCAATCATTTGTTTCATGATTAAAGTGCTCTGTAGATGAATTTCACTAATTCTCCAGACGCTGTCATGGCAAAGGCGTGTCGCTACAGCAATATACACACACTGAGACTGAACTTCAAAATTAATAAAAAAAAACTCACAACACAAAAGCTCATTTGAACCCATTGTATACATTTCGGGGCTCACCAGGTGTAAAATCTACAACTTTTATTAATATACCTTGTCTGTTGCCATATAATTTTTTGCTTATTTTTAGTATTACTAAATTTACATTGAATATTTTCTCCCAATTTAATTGAAGTCAAACACAAAACGAGACTTCAACTGTTTTTGTTTCTACTTTGTTTGTTGCTTTTTAGGCGTTTGCATTTTGTTGCAGCTCTCTTGACTTGCTGCGTTGGACTATCGCTGCTTCCTCTTGTTCTAAAACGACCACCGCCCTCGACCGGCAGCATCAAATCAAAAAAAAAAAAGAATTACAAAACGTAACGAGTTGGCTGGAGCAACAGTGAAAGCCACAGTGAGCGGAAAAAGATTGAAACATGTGTATGTGTGCGTACTATCCGCTGGAGAGACTGACAAAGTAATTGGGCGAAAGGCGCGAGAGCGCAAACACAACAAAATCGCTCATTGCGGGCCAATGCGCGAATACATACACACCAATATGTAAAAGGCCTAACTGTAGATCAAGAGAGATTTGTTGCGCTATATAGTGTTTGTGTACGGGTACACAGTTAGCATACTCTTTGGCGCAAAAGCAAGCAAATGCAGTGCACACATCCTTAGGCAGTTATATGTGTGCAGATAATTACAAGCATATATATATACATATTTATAATATATTCTATGATGGCAAGAGATGTGTTAACTGTAATTCGTAAGAATTGTTCAACATTAAACTTGTTAAATTAATTTTTTTTAACAAAACATTATATTGAATGAAAGTGTAAGAGATTATAGCAGGGTGGGTTCAACCGTCAATAAGATATCTTCTGCTTGAGATATATTTGTACTTCTGCCGTGTGATACTTATTTAGATTTTCTTGCAAAAAATTGTTCCCGTTAACTAACACTTTAACGATACAAAAATAACGAAAAATATTTATGTAGGTTTATTAATAATTAAAGTTCCCCCCACGTATTCAACCAATGAACAGCGCTGCAGTTGTGCATGCGGTTGTATCCAGAAGGTCTGTGTAAGTTATTTTCCGTTCGGTTGTACTTTCGCGATTTACGTTTGACCTCCACCTAATCGAAACCAGCGGCCCATTGCTGCTTCATTCGTTCGGTTTGTTCTTTCGACACTTTCAAAGGTACTGTTCATATATCTATACATATGTAGCCGTGTGTTGGCTTTTCTTGTTCAAGTTTTTTGTATTTATCTACTCCTTTTTCTTTCTCTCATTCGCGGGATTATATCTTTCGGCTGTTTTCTAATATACTTTTACTTTGTTTTGGCGGCAGTGACTACCACCCATACTTCATGCATTCGTTTGTACCCACACACTGGTGGTGTGGTGTGTGTATAATTCTAAATTGCAACCGCGCATACAAAGAATTATAACAAAAATCATACAAACTTTAGGTGGAGGATGAATCACTAGCCTCCCCTTCAAGAACTGCGAGCATTGCTCGTAAAGAACGTTGGTAGCAACGCTGCAAGCAGCAAGTAGCAGGTAGCAGGCAGGAAACAGTTGAGGTTTAGCTTTAGTTATTTCAATAACCTGCTTCCTTACTACCCACACCAATGACGAGGTCACTCAACAACGCCTTCTCGATACGCCTTGCTCCTTATTACTGAATCCACCACATATTTGTTGTAGTCTCTTATTTCTTTATATGTTTTGTTTTAATATATTTTATAATCTCTATGAATTTACTACCTTTACTACCCTGTATGCTTTCTATCAAAATTTCTTTTTATATACACTGTGGTTCTTCTAGGATATGTCGACACCCTTAATAAAACCTACTTACGCAGAGTCAAACTTATGGGAGAGCAATTATGCCACCTGTCAGTGGAAATTTTTTAGAGAGAGCGCACATTTGTAGAGTTGCCAAAGTGATATGAAATTTATACGTTATGTTACTCAGATAGTTTTACTAACTGTTAATAGCTAACATCTCTACAAAATGAATCTAAAACACAATGAAGAATTATAACAGTGATATATAAACAACTGAAATCGTTGAAAAATTAATTAGTCATAAATGCAAGATTTGAATTTTTTTTTTTTGTTATTTTGCAACGAAATCGAACGACAACCCATAAGCCCAATTGCAGACGTACATATAACTCTCGGAGTAAGGTTACATTATTTTTATATTTCTTCGGTTTATAATTGTGTTTAATTACTTTATAATTACAACTTTTTAAATGTCTTTCACACGTACTCCTATACTCTTTGCACGCCTTATACACACTTTTCTTTTACTGTTTGCATTATTTTGTTGTTGTAACTTATTACTCTTGTATAAAATTTGTTTACTGCCGCTGTAGACGGGGTTGTTTTGCTAAGCAGCCGCAGCATATGAAAGAAAAAAGGAAGACTCTCACTCGCTGCAGATTAATTTATTTGGACTACGAGTCCAGTTTTCTTTGATAATTTTCACTTTATTTAATTTCATTTACCATTTTGTTTTTTCATACTATAATCTAGTATTGTCGTGATATATAGTTCTTTTCGATGCCTTATCATGTATATTTTCCTCACGTCCATTTCAATTTGGTTTCAGAAATGTTTGAACTGCCGCTCCCTAAATGCTTCCCTCATACTCACGCGCGCGCAAATAGCGCCTTATTTCTGTATCCCTGACACGACATACTTATAAGACATTTCGGATCTACATACATACATATGCATGCATGCATGCATGTATGTTCGTAGATTGGTATCCGGGATATGGGCAGCGCAGTCCCACCAACTTTTGATGTACTTTTGTGCGCCTTCGCTTACACCATACATTCACAAAAGGCCTTCATACATTTGTGTTATTTATGTATTTAGGTACTTTAAGGAGCAGCTGCCAAGTATTCCCGTTCGGTATCACATCTGTGTGTGTAAACGTAAGAGTAGCGAATGTCGTTGCTGCCTTGCAATGCCTTTGAAAAACTACATCTTCATACATTATTTGTGTAATTTAATTTACTTGAAATTTCTACTTAATATTATTTTCTAATTTTCAAAACTTTTTTTTGAGTATGTATGTATGTATATATGTTGTTCCTAGTATGATCTAGCCCAAACCTTAAAGCATTTCGCAATTTGTGTATCACATAAATAGGTACATATAAAAAATTACAAAAATGATGCCTTTGATCCGGGAGCTAATTTGTAATGTACATATTTTTTCCGCAGGCTCTCGCTTCACCACAAATTTCCGCGTCTCACACTTTAGCTTTAATGCTCTCGCAAACGTTTTAACAATTTTATTTAATTTTCAACTTTTTTCTGTTGTAAACACTTATTTTATTTTTCTTAAATGCGAGACTTATTTATTAACCGGTTTTTTCACGACTGCTGCTAGTTCTTCGCCTTTTTTCATTGCTCTTCGCTCTCAAAGTGTATGTTTGTGTTTCGATTTTTCACTACAACGGCTTGTTTCATTATTTTTTTGGGCAGGGATTGCAATATCGTTCTATGTACTTGTATTACTGTTGCCTTGGCTAATCCGTTTTCACCTTCATGCTGCTTGTGACTTTCGTTCATTATTTTAGTTTTGGTTTGTATACAAAATGTTCGACACATTCAAACGAAACGCGAAATAATGAAATGTCAAGCAAATACATCATTGCCAGTCAGGCAGCGAGCTCAGTATTTGAGTGAATAAAACATATTTCAAGCAGTCTGCCAATAGCTCGGCGAATGCGCATGTCCTGCTCCTAAATGAGTGTACTTGTTGTGGTGTATTTTCTAGCTGTTATCCTGCTGTTGACCCGCCAAATGTCAAATGTTCGATTGTTTGTGTCTATGCATGCAGTAACACACATCAACGCACACATGGGCATAAATATTGAAAACACACCCTGTTCAAACTATCGCAGCGTCAAAGATGGTTTTCGCCGCGTTGCTGAGTGTCCCAGCAAGTTGTTGGTGTAATGGTCGTGGTGTAATATACATAAATATGTTCGCTTTCCCACGATGGTAGGGATCTTCAATAAAGTATTTTTGGAAGGGACTCCGATAGATGGCGCTAATTTTGTGTATTTCAGCGCAGCATTTTGCTTTTGGCATCGCTAACCAGCACCAAGTAGAATTTGGATTTTTTAGAACGAAGGCGCCCACTTAAGTGTGTAATTTGCATGTTTGCACAATAATTGCTTTTGAAAAATTGCAATTATCTAGATAACGGCACATTGCCCGCCCCCCAATATGTAGATATAGTGCAACCGGAAGTTTGAAAATCGCATGTTATATGGGAGTCGCATAGGAGATAGGCGTTGTGTGAGTTCTTGACTTTAATGATTTTTAAATAAATATTTTAAACACGAGAAAATAAAACAAGATTTATTCTTTATTTGTTTATCATTTTTCTTTTTCATAAATATCAACTTACGCACTATTTTTTAAACGTATTTTTTAACACTTTGAAACTGTTTGTAATTTATTTAATTTGATTACATTAAAGAATGTAGGTGTTGTACGATGTGTATTAACCTATTATTAACGAATTGAGTACATCATTTGTAAGTAATAATGCATGTTGGAATGTACGTTTGCTTGTTTTATATAACATAAATACAGATAACAACAAGGAATAAATAGAAAAATTGTGTAGCCACATGCGATAATGACAAGGTATACAAGTAATACGTAACTACAAAGACACGATTTAAGAACCGATCGGCACATTCTGCCCAACATTAACTTGACATACAATGATTGTGTTGTGAGCCACTGTAGCTTAAAAGGCACTGTGGTGTATTATAGCGGACGGAAATTTAATTTTATATTGTATTACATATCTTATTCAATGTGGTGAATGCAGTGAGTTCAAATGCGATGATTTTGTATCTGTATGTATAGACTTTACTATGCTAATATAAATACATACGTGTGGGATGGAGGTTATACATACATTAGATACATATACATATAAATACTTAATCGCATGTTTGCTTGCTTTAAATTATGAAATTTTGTTTTTATGTAAATTTTTTACGTAAATATGTATGTAGTACTTGCGAATTAATATTAAAAATAATTAAATCTACATTTATTTTGGTAATATATACCGAGAAAATAATTAATTTGTGTTTGATAACGTAAGACAATAAATAGCAAATGAGAAGAAAAAATATTAATTATTATTATAAAAATGCAAGAAAAGTAGTGCCATCCAAAAAGTACATTGATTATTAATCTACCAAACAACTATATTTTATTGTAATAAATTTCAAAAACAAAAACTATGTGAAACCGGAGTATAGTTTCCTGAAATAATAACATAAGCTCCGCTAGCACTGCCTAATGCAGTTTTGTAAGCAATTTTAATGGTTTAAGTGAAATTCATACACATAATAAGTTATACTGTATTATTTAAATGTATTAAATTAGTACTTGTTAATATTTTGAGGATTTTATGGATTAAATAGGCTTTAAAATTCCTATAGTTCTTTAATGTTTTAAAAGTTTCCCTGGTATTAAACAATAAAATGTATTATTAAGTATTAAAAATAGAGCTGGCAAGTTAAGCTGCAGCAAAGTAATATAAAATATTTAATTTAACATTTTCACATAATTTACGAGTAGATCAGGTAAAGTAAAATAATTACTATTTCCATTTTAATTTAAATGTTTTACTTTATCTCTTTGTTTATTAACCAGCAATTCTGCCTTCAAGTATCATACAAAAAGAGAAAAAAATATATGCAAAATTGTCTGCCAATATTGACACTTTTAAATGGATTTTCAGCTTTTTAACAAAAATTATTTTCTCTCAGGGTCAAAGTTCGAAATCAATGAATATTCGAATAATTGTGTATTTTCTTGCGCTGATATTCTTTTAATAAATTTTTATGATCAAAAGGACTTGGTTGTTTCCTCTGACATTTGAGTACGAACGCAGGGAAATATATAATTTGTCAATGTCTGTCAGCTCTGTTCATTCCCTTATTGTAAATTCCCATATTTTTATTTATCAACATTTCCGCTGCTTAAATCTAAGTTTTATCTAACATAACATAAACTTATTAGTTGTACCTTAATCTACCTACTCATGCGTACTTATTAAATTAATGGAGAAAACATTGTATGAACGCATACCTGTAAGTATGTCTGTACGAGTATGTAAAAAATAAATAACTACCAATTAACAAAAATATTAAAAATAATGAACAAATGCACTTCAACATATCAACAAAACTGACGCTTGAGCTACACCTTGCAAGTCGAAATGGTGTCTTACCGAAGGTTTTCGAAATCTGTTAATCCCTTCAATAAAATGTGTATGTCTTCTTTCCGCCGGTTTTTGATTCTTCGTCATTCTATTGTGCTTTTACACGACTGCATTATCCCACCGCTTAATGCGCTTTTCGTATCAACGTCCTCAATTGTCAATCACCCGCATTTTTTATCTCACTCAAGCTACGACAATTCTCACGTTCCCGCTCACGATCCTCGTCTAGTTTCTCCATTTTGAACACTTTACTCTTTAGACCGCACAAAATCTCAGCTGTCGCTATATTCTTGACAGTCTCATTGTCGGTAATGCCGGCTACCAGTCCCAAACTGCCTAAATGCGTATTGCTTAAATCTAGTTCCGTGTGATTATTGTTGTTGTCGCTTTTAGGATGTTCCAAATTACGTGTAATTGCGTGTATGAGCGCAACGTTCTTATTCAAATTTGCGGTGTCCTTGCTGTTGTTATTATTGGGATCTGTCTCCATTTCATCCTTATTATAATCAGCGTGATATTGGTTGCGTTCCCTCTCACGTTCACGTTCAAGTGTGCGCTCTCGTTCACGTTCGCGCTCACTTTCATGCTCCCGCTCGCGTACTAACGCACGTTCCAGTTCTCGTTCACGTTCACGCTCGCGCTCCAGCTCATCCTCATCTGATGTACTCGTACTGCTGCGTCCACCAATGCTGCAGCCGCTGCTACTAGTTCCACTGCTTAGTCCACTACTCATATTGTTCATATTTCCCATATTGTAGCTCGAGTCGGGCTGCTCCACTTTGATGTTAATTAAAGGCACAAGCGTGGTAACGGCGCTAGTAGAGGTCGTTTTTTCCTTGAAACTTGTTTTCTCGCTCGAGTCTGTTGTGGCCTTCGAACCATCGTACGAGCTGCTGGTTGTGGTACAATTTTGCACGAGATTTAATGCTTCTGTGAATTCCTCTTCCAAGGGCGTGGTTTCCTTTGTAGTATGTGACTCGTTGTTATTGATTGTGTCGTCATTGTTGTTGTGTTTTGATGTGACTGTATTGGCGGCAGTGGCGGCGGCAGCTGCTTCTTGAGCAGCCGTATCATTCTGATGCTTCTCCATGAGTCGTATCTTGTAGTTATTGCTGCTGCTGTTGCTTATAGCGCTGACCGATACTGTTGGTGTTAAACCTATGGTCTCCGATGTCGTGTTGTTAGTTTCCACGAGCGTGACATCTAAATTGCTGTTAACATCTGGCTCAATGCTGTAGCAATCCATGTCCTTTCTACGCTTCTCATTCAGCTCCTCATTGTAATGCATCAGTATTTTCCGTTTAGCGAGATATTTATGTGGCTTCCTCGATGTGTCTAAGATCTTTTTGCTGTTCGCTTGTAGAATGGCGAAATTATCCGACTTTCGTGTAACTGCGGTCGACTCTGGCAACGAGTTGCTCAAATTATTGTAATTATTAATGCTGCTGTTATTGTTGTTATTGCGACTTAGATTTTTCATAAAGGTTTCCGCGAAGCTGGCCTTAGATTTGATGTGATCACGGAAGCTGGTAAACCCTGGCGATGGCGAAAGTGGTCCGCCCGTGCCGTTCATGCCATGTTCAAGCGCTGTCTGAGCGGTTGACTGTGGTGGCGGTGGTACAGATGGCTGTTGGGGCGGTTGCTGCGGGTGTATTGGGGATTGTACATATGGGTGACCGGTTATGTTAACGCTGTGAGTGGCACGGTCGAAGTGACATTGAGTGCCAGAACCAGTTGGTGTTGCCAGAGAGTCGCTATCTTGTGAAGAGCCATTTTCCTTATCATCATTCATGTTTTTCTGAATGAAAATATTTGGAAGGGAATATAAAGTTAAGTAATGGGAAGGAAATGTGTTTTAGAAAATGGTTTCTACTAAATTTTAATGATTAAACAATTTTTAATATATTTCCCTTAGAGATCACATTAATGATATTTGCGACAGCTGTCGGACAAATTTTTTCAATTATCACTTCATAGAATTTACCTCGGTGTGCAGTCCTTTGATCTTCATTGCTTCAGCTACTTTCAGGAAAACAGGAAGGTCTTCATATTTTACATTAACCTGTAATTAAACGTTCAAAAAACACAATACTCTTGTAGTATTCAACTAAGGTAGGAATCTCTCGAGCCGTCCAAAGGACTATTGCAATTTCATGTTTTTAATCACCACTAGAGCTGATCGCTCTCTTCATATAACTGTTTCTTTATTTATAGACTTTCCCGGATGAATTCAAACTTAACAAATTATACAATAAACATGTTACAATAACGAAACTGTTACAATAAACATACCTGTCCACTGTACATAAAATCCAGTAAACCAGCCATGTGAGGAGCTTCTACATCAGCCATTAAAAGTATAGGGTGACTGGATGGGTTTTCAAGGAATATTTGTTGAAAGTATGGACTGCAAACGGATAGTACCTGAGAATATATAGATAGCGCCGATAAGAAGAGAAAATTAACATATGATTTGAATTATTATTTTGCTACTCTTCCAAAAAGTGTGAAATGAAAGGTTTAGGGAGTTTCAAAGTGAGTGAAAAATATACATAATATAAATACAAGTCTTGAATATTTGTAAAAAATGTACATGACCTTCGTGTTTCCACCAAGGATTGAGTGTCAGTTCAATAGCATGCTTACGAGTTTGTGTGCTTTGAATATTTTCCCGCCCGCGGCGATCGTTACGTCTACCATCTTCTCGTCCTTTTGTAGCGTGTGGAAGCCGCGACACATATTGCCATGGAAGTTATTCCACGAGAGAAGGTACTGATCGATCGTATTAGGATCGGTGTACCCTTGTTGCTGCTGCTGTGGATGCTGCGGATTGTGTTGTTGTTGCAAGTGCAACTGTTGTTGAGTGGCCTGGTGTTGGGCCGTCTGTATGTGTATCTGTTGGGCTGTGGTGGGTGGTGTGGGCGGCGGTGGCAGTACAATCGATGGTGACAATTGCTGTGGTTGTTGCTGCTGCTGCTGCTGCTGCTGTTGTTGTTGCTGTTGTAATTGCTGTTGACGCTGCTGTTGTTGATGGAGAAGCTGGTGTTGCTGTTGTTGCTGTTGATGTTGATGCAACAAATGTTGATGTTGCTGCTGCAAGGCATGTTGCAGTCCCGGTGGTGGTGTCTGTTGCTGTGGCAGGCGATGCACTGCATGCGGCGACGGTGGTGGCGGCAACTGTTGTTGTCCAGCCGAAGCATGTAAGTAACGTTGCTGTTGCGTAGCTTGTTGTTCACGCTGCCGTTCACGCTCCCGCTCACGCTGTACCTGTTGCTGAGCCTGCTGCTGTTGTTGACGTGCGTGCTGCTTGATCTTAAGTATATTCTCCTGTTGCTCCTGTTCGTGCTGCCGCATGAGTTCGTCTTTTATTTTGTACTGTTGCATGCTCAAATCATCGACGCTTTTCGATAGCTTTAGCGTATCGTTACTGTTAAATTTACTGTTCTGCAACATCGGTTTGATGTCGTATTTATAATCGCCAATGCCACCGCCACCCAAAGCATATTTCTTTTCGGCACGTTCTTTTTGTCGGCGTATCAGCTCATCAATGTCCATGTAAGCGCCTGAAGTAGCTGCCTCTATGGCGGATACAATAATGGGGTCCTCTTCGAAGACGCTGTCATCAATAGTCTCGCGGAGTGTTTTGGTAGAGGAAAAGAGACGTAACGAAGGATCGTTGACCTGATCGCTGAAATAGACATCCATCAGTGTGAAGAAAGGCCATTCGCGCCGCTTTGGCTCTTCGGACATTTTAATGGCCTGAAGTGAGGCAAATTCAGATACGGAATAGTGAAAATTGTGTATTAATTTAAGTGTTCGAGTGAAATTCTCTGCTAATTGGAGCTGGTACTCACTTTGTATTCTTGCAGTAGATTATTCCATTTTTTGATGATCTTCGAAAGTGGCAGCGGGACATTGAGTTTGCGCTCGACGACCCTAGAAGTGGTACGTATGATAGGGAGAAAGTGAAAAGTATAGAATGAGTGAGGGATGATACAAATTCTTTTAAGATATGAAAAAAAAACTTTAAAAATGCTTTGACTCTAACCATATTTACCATAAGTAGTTTAATTTGATAGGAAAATTCAAAATACAAAAGCTAATATACAAGTAATAATGTAAGTAATGACATATATACTTCCAAAAAGTGGATAATCTCAGTAGTATACCCTTATTTGAAAATTATTAGGGAAACCTGTGATAATTTTATGTTGAACGTTGCTAACAAAATTTTAAAACTACGTAAATTTTTAAATGACAACTCTTCTGAATGTACTAATTTCAATATAATTATTTTTTACTTACGCCCATGCATATTTGGAGGCATTCCGTTTGCCTGTGAATAGCGGTGAGAGTTCCGCACGTAATCTGATTAATGTTTTGACCTTTTCTGCTTCCCCTGTGGTGGAAAGTAAATAAATATAAGCAATTGGTATTCTAATTTTTAGAAATATGAAAAAATTCAGTTCGTGAATTTTAATAAAATATTATAATAAAGCTTCTGAAAGAAGTTGAGAATTATTATTTTCAATAACTAATATTATACATAAATTGTATTTGGAATTGCATTCACTCTTTAATGAACCACTTCTTCTTACTCTTCTAATAGAAAAGTTTTTGCAGTGATTTTTCAATAAGATTCTGCAAATCATGGGTTTTATGTGAATACATTAACTCTTCAAATTCATTCGCCATTCTCCTTGGCCATTATATTTTAATATAAAAATATATGATATAAAAAGTAGCCTGAAGAATAGCAGAGGCTCAGCAATTAGTTACTCCTTATGCTTGTACAGCAACATGATTATAATTATGCTATTAAAGAGCTTTGTGGGCATACATACATAGTTTCATAGCCAGAAGATAATCTAAAGAAAGTGATAGTTATTGGCCGGAACTTTATATATATACATACACTGCCACATATGCTGCAAAACCTTAGTGCGCCTTTTGTCATTAATAAATTTTTAAATTTTATTGTTATTCGTTATTCCATGGGTATATCTTCACTTTCAATTTGACTGGAACTTAAAGTCGATTTGTGTTGTTGATTGGACTGGTTTGTGGTAATTACCGAAAACTATTCAACGTTGAAGAATTCATTAGCAGATTTCACTTTCGCTCATGACGTTGGAAATTGTTTGGTGCATAAACCCAACTCGACCGTACATACGCACACACATATGTATTGTTTGTGTGTGTGCGCGTAGCTTTCTTACCTGTTCAGCGCTGCGGCTTTGAGTGCCATGTCTTTCTTCGGAGTGAGCGAGTAGTAAGTTTTCTCCTCATACATACATATTAAGTAAGTTCACAAATTTGGCGTGCGCATGTAAAACTCATGTGTATGAGTGCGTGAATGCGACTTCCATACGTGTACATATGTATATTCAGTGCGGAGTTTCTGAATTCTTTTTATGCCTCACACATACAAACATTATGCTTACACATATATATAAACCAGTGTGGGTATTATTTGTTGTATGCTTATATATTGAAAACAGCATGTTACCATTACATCCTTTGTATGAGCATGTGTATATATATATATATATACATGAGTGTGTATATATATAATATATATATATACATGAGCTAACGGGCATCTTGTATATTTATGCATGCTTACACATTCACATTAAACATGAACCTGTGTGCAACTTTCGGCAGAAGATTGTATTTCGACTCTTTGCCAAAGGAATTTAAAATGTAAAATTGAATTCGTTTCGCAATACCGGATCTATGCGAAAGCTTAAAGCCACAACAGTTTTTGCTTTTGTTTGAAGTTTAGTTCGAAACATAAATGAATTGATGTAAATTGCAAGCTAGATGAATTTGGAAATTAAGAAAGCATAAAGGAAAGAAGAAATTAACGGCAAGCACATCAAAAGCCAAGCAAAGAAAACACCTAAGTAAGAAGAAAAATCAATTAAAAAACATAATAATAGATTTCTTTGTTTTCAAGTTGGTAGTTCTGCTGTTGTTTATTATACGAGTATATCCGATCAAATGGTAGAAAGCGTAACATGGATGAGCGAACCAAACTGAAACGAAGTGAAATGAACTAGACTGAGTTGCGGTAAGTGTAACTCAGCTGAAATAAGCGGCAATGCACCGAACTGTTGCTATGAAACTGTTAGGTGATATCACATATCACCTAAGAGCCGGAGGTTATAAATCTATTTCATGCATTTAGTGGCCTCAGGGATATTAAGTTTTGATTAAGAAAAAATACACATATGTAAGGACATTTTTTAAGATATATGGTTTCCTAGCGCCATTATGTTTGTCATATAGATATATATATATATATATATATATATATATATGTATGTATATACACATGTTTAAAGTTATGATATTAATTAAGTACTATTTTTATAACCCGCATATTAAGCGTGTATTAAGTTTGCGATGAAGTTCGTAACATTCATAAGGAAACGTCGGAAAGCCTATAAAGTATTTATAACAAGTAAGGAAGGGCTAAGTTCGGATGTAACCGAACATTTTATACTCTCGCAAAGTCAAATGGTATAGTCGTTTGAGATTTCTTTGTGGATTGACTGATATTTTCCACATATTTAGTACTTAGAGGCTTGAACAGCCTTGAACAGATTTTGAACGCGGTTCCTATAAAGCCAATTTATACCATCTCAGAGATAAAATTTAATGTCTCTGGCGTGTTTAGTGCTTGATTTATCGCGCTTTTAGTAGTTTTTAACAGTACCGTTATATGGGGAGTGGGCGGAGTTGCCACCCGATTTCAACTATTTTCACACCGTCAATAGAAGTGCTAAAAACATTTGCTTCTAGTGAATTTTGTTATTATAGCATAAGCGGTTTAGGAGATATGCACATTAAACCTATTAGAGGCGGGACCACGCCCACTTTTAAAAAAAAAGTTTTAACTGCACATGCCCCTCCCTAATGTGATCCTGTGTACCAAATAACAGTCTTGTATCTTATTGCGGAGCTTAGTTATGGCAAGTTATTTGTTTTTGATTAATGGCGTTTTGTGGGCGTGGCAGTGGTCCGATTACGCCCATCTGCAATACCAACCGTCTCACGGTACCATGAAACATGTCTACCAAGTTTCATAAAGATATCTCAATTTTTACTCAAGTTAGAGCTTGCACGGACGGACGGACAGACGGACGGACGGACAGACAGTCACCCGGATTTCAACTCGTCTCTTCATCCTGATCATTTATATATATATAGCCCTATATCTAACTCGATTAGTTTTATGTGATACAAATCCGTTAGGTGAACAAAACTATTATACTCTGTAGCAACAGGTTGCGAGAGTATAAAAATTATCAGCGTGACAAGCTGAGTAGATTTTGTCATATCAGTCTGTCCGTCTGGATATATATACGTGAACTAGTCTTACAGAACTAGTTAATCTGTCATTTGTACACGTCCTTTTCTCTTCAAGAATCTGCTATTTATTGAAATCGTACGGCGGGGAAATGTACAATCTCGCGTACAACTATAATATGTAGCTGCTGTGGGAACTGATCTTTTTATACCCTTTTATTGCAGACATTTTTTGAAACTAAATATATAATATGTATTTTTCTTACATATCGTGCTTCAATCGAACTTGTACTTCTTTCTCTTGTACGAATTGTAATGAATGTTGGTTTTCTCCAACAAAAGAAAAGCTAAAAATATTTTCTCAGTCTAACATACACACTTCTAAATCTATATACACCAATAAGTATCAACGGCAATATTGTCTAAAAATAATAACAAAAGTCATAGCTTTTCCAGCAGTTAGCAAGTTTGCTTGCGCACCCATACCAGCAAGTCAACCAGCCAGACCGTCAACCAGGCAGCCAGCACAATCGCCGGCGTTCATGCGTGCATCAGCGCCGTTAGTTTCTCTTTTGACCTACATTTGTAGCTACATTCTACAACGTCACTGTCGCCGATCTCACAGCAATCGCTATCTCCACACTGTGCATTCACATACCCGTTTTTTTGTTGTTGTAGTCGCTTTTACTTGCTTCATTTTTGTTGTGGTTGTTCGGTCGCTCACTGCATTGCAAGTGTTGAAAGTAGTATTCTTCTTGTGCGCAACTTTTTCTTCAATATTCTCACTTCTCATCGCAGTGCTGGGGAAGTTCGTGGCGTAATTCTTTTGTTTTGCATCGCGCTCACTCTTCATTTAGCGTCCTCTACAGAGCTTAGTCGGCTTCGTGAAATTCGCTTTTAGCGTGACTGCTGTGCTGTTGTTCTTTGTATTAGTTGTTATTGTACATGTTTTTATGTGCCGGTTTTTGTGTTCTCGTGCCGCTTTGTTTACATTTTTGCTGCATCATTGTTTTTGTAATTACTTTCTTCGCTTGCTGTTATATTCCTTTTGGCGTAGTTGTTGTAACGTATATATATATATAAAAAATGCTTCATATTTGTTTCTGTATACATTTTTTTGTCCACACACACACCCATCAGCTTTTTGATTATGCTACAGCAAAAACGTGCTTTCTGAATTCGCCTGACTTGCTTTTAACATTCTTTGGCGCCTTTCTATTTTTGAAGCAATTAAAAATGCTTGCGATAAAGTTTTGTAGTAGAGGTTTTCAGAAATATTGAGAACTTATGTCTGCACATTTATTTTAAGTTAGCTCACATCAAGTACAAGAAGTGTAGATAATTTGTTAAGTCAAATAGGAGTGCATTTCCACTACTGCTGTTTTATTCTTCTTCAAATTGCGACTGGCAAGGAAAGAGCTATTATGTTATATATGCTATATACCCTGCAGTAGCCACCACATACATACACACATGTTCTTTAAGTTCACTGTGATTCGCTTTTGCGTTGCGTTGACCATTCAGTTTTTCATTTCCCCCTCTACTTACATACATACATACATAGTGCTCATATGTATTGTTTGGTGTTCGAATTGACTTTGGCTTTGTTGTCTTTCTTCTTTGCAGTTACCTGCTTGAATAGATGCAACTATCGCCCAGCCCTATACACTTAGCACCTTAGAATCAGACTAGATGCTGAATGTCTTAGACTTTTACTTTAGTTATCTTTTGTACAGACGATTACAAAAGTGGGTTAATATCTCATTAATCCGTTGAGCGTTGCTGACCAGGGTTTAAGTACCTGCAGCTTCTTAAATGTTTGTATACAAAAGGTATTCAAATGTGAATAGAACATGTTGGTAGTTTCGACATATTGGTGAGATGGTTCATAACATATATTTGGTGCAACATTATTTTACTTTTATCGACATTGTACGTCCGGAAAAGAAATCTATTCAAACACTGATACGTATATACGAGGTGTATTTAGAGGAAAAGGTGAATTTTAATTTTTCGCGGGCTGTGCACATTCGTTTATCGATTTTTTGTTTTTGTTATAATCGGACACATATCTTTATCATG